TTGGATCAGAGAGGTTAAGGCTACGTTTTTTATTGGATCTCAGAACAATCTCTATTTTCTAGGTTGAGAGAGATAGAAGAGAGGTTACATGGTTTAAAGGCATCCACCATATCAAAACCACCTGTCTTAAAATTTAAGGTATGTACGTTCAAGAGGCTTTTACTGAATGTTCTACTTGCTGTAGAAATACATCTGCAATATGAGTTATTATTTCTTTTCCATGTCCCTAGGCATGATGTTGGTAGAATAATTTTCATGTATTGCATATAGTGTGTCTATGTGTATGTAAAGATGTTACTGTATTCATATATTACTATTTATTACAAATATATATGTTTATCTGTAAATATATAAGCCTGTATATAGATTGTTAATATATTACACACACACACGTACAACTCTGTGGGAAGGTAAAAGCCATTTGGCAAATTACATTAATCATGTATCTTAAACAATTTCATTGCTACTTTGTTGGCTAATCCATTTTCCTTGGGGACTACTATTAACATGTCACATCTCTGAGCAAATCTCATTGAATTTCCTCCAGCAGCAGATTTTCCTTCCAAATTACACTGGTTTGACAGTTAGCATAAGTTACTTTTAGTCTCATGAAATAGATGGCTTGCTAATCAGCTGTATAAATTGCTGTGTTTTCATATCATTGGGAAAAGGCATTTTCTAGCTTCTTGGTGGGATGTGCAACACTTTCTAGTTGCTTGACTATATCCTGAAATATTAAACCGTAAAAATGTGACATGATAGATGAGAAGAAAATAGATTATTGTTTCTCAACTTGCCATTTTTCTTTCCTTCTTAACTCAGAAGGACTCCTAGAAGCCAAGGTCAATCTTGAGCCATAAAAAAGAGGAAACTAACCATAATTCAATTTGTCATAGCCTTCTCCTTTTCATCACTGCTTGAAAGCATGTATCGTGCTATTATGTCTACCATCAAGGAAGCTGCAGTCAGACTGATACTCCTCCAGCTCTGTGAAAGATTATTCATCACTCAGTTGTGTTTCAACTGAAGATTTTTTTGAACAGATGCTTTTTAGAGGGAGCAGGGAAGGAGGGGAAGAGAAAGGGGGAAGAAAAGAGGACTGCATCAATCCCAATTACTCCTAGGTAATTTTCCATTGCAGTACATCCTTTTTCTTACCCTTACTGAAAGGAATATGGTTTTTTCCCTGCACAGCTTTACGCTAGTGACTCCATTGAGTACCGTGCCTGAGACAGAGCCCCAGGGGAAGAGAGGGGCTTTCCATGAACACGATGGCAAAGTGCTTCTGCCAAGGGAGGATTTCAGCAGGGTGTCATTGAAGGATTATTGCTCATCAGCAAGCCAGTCCAGCCTACTGAGGGTGACTACCTTGCTAAAAGAGAACTAACTGCTTTGTAGGTACCAACTACCAGCACCTTGGCTCTTCATGGCAGACCAGAGTTCTGGTTTGATCATGAGTTGTTATTAACTACAAGTGCTTGATCCACAAATTATTTTGTTCTGTGCGACGCAGGAGACTAGAGTCTTTGGTCACTGATCTCTTTAGGCTGTATTACATGACGAAATGGGCATGTACAGCTGTAATGAAAAAGGTTAGCCGCCGTCGATGTGTTGCTTCTTTTATGGACTGAAACAAATTAAGCTTCCCAGGATGAGAGAAAGTCAGTAGTCCTACATTAAGCAGATTTAGTTGAGTGAGCACAAAGGTAGCTTTTGGCAAAGACAAGTGTAAGAATAAATACAGCAGCTAACTTGGCTGGTATTTATTTTTAGATGAAATGATCTGTGTTTAACTGACCTTTTGGGGATTAAAAAAAAACCAAACTTGAAGATATGGAGTGTCTTGTACTCTAAGAATGTATTGGACGAACCACCCAGATGAGAACTTGAAGGTGAGGTATCTTTATGGTGCTCTCTCCTCTACTTCTCCTCAGATGGCACAATCAAATAAACTGCTAAATCATGAGGACCTGCGTGGGTTAAAAGCAAAGCCCTACACCCCATTGTAAACGTGAATCTTAGAAGCGCAGCCCTCTCCCCGCCAGCTATGTAACAGGAATCGGAGTCAAAGGCTAAGAGGGCTGAAGAAGATGAAAACATGGGGAATGGTGCGATACCTACCTTTTTATGACTCTGTGGTGCATGAAAATAACTGTGTTGTAGGATGGTTTCCAGTCACCGCAGGGAAGAGGAGGGCAGGATGGACCTCAGTTACTCCCTACTACTGAGACAGAAATTCATTTAAATCTGGGCTTGTCACTGTGTTGGCCTAAAGTGCCTCAGGATTCCTTAGCACTTCTCATTCACCCAGGGTTACAGAAACTCATCTGGAAGAAGCTCCAGCTTGTACTTGACCTTGTGGTTTCTGACAGCGATGTCCATGTTCATAACAACTATCACAAATTATTTATAAGACACTAGTGATTTACCACATGTAGAAGAACTATGAGAGCTTAACGAGCTGCTGACATGCAGCCTTATCTGAGAGGAGGAAGCCTTTAAACTGACGGCAGCAAAGTCCCATAGTAGTCCAACACACAACTGCCCAGTTAAATCCCCCTGTAATACCAGTAGAAGTTTCTGTTCCCTTTGTCTGCTGAGGCCGCAGAAGTTCCTGGGTGCAGGAACAGGTAGAGGCTGCTGCAGAGGTCGGTATTTCTGCACTCTGGGAGGATGTTTGGGATCTTCCAGGCTGAAAGGCAGCACAGGAACATAAATCACGATCACTTTCCATGTCTCCTGTTTTAACGTCACCACCAAACACGTTCGTTTGTCCCCCACGCTTACCTGTGCACAAAAGAGCTGCCCCACTTCTGTCGGCTCATCCAGCTTTTCTTTTTTAATTCTGAAAATGCTCCAGTCTTAAGTTGAATGGATGACTATTTGGGTCAGCTTCTGCTTAAAATACAAATAAATTTGTTAAGTCTTCTGTTTATGAATCATAACCAGGAGAAAAGTGCTATCTTGAAAGGTCATGTTCTAAACATTTCTTCTCTGTCATTAAACACGTCCGGGAGTATCTGTGAAGTGCCCCACTCCTGCTTTTAGGAAAAACGCCCAAATTAATAAATGTTTTCTAGAATGATTTTAGTCCTCTGTTCCCAGTAGGTTTCGTGGCATGGCAGTCTTCAGCCGCTTTGCGATGGTGCTGCAATTTAATTTTGGAAGACTTCTGATTTTTAGCGTTCACTGCTTTGGTATTGGTCTGGTGCTGCCCGTTAGGGTACCCACCAATTGGTAATTTGTCTTTGGAAGCTTTTCCAGAGCTGGAAGACCATGTTGAAAGGCTTGCGCCTGTAAGAAAATACATAGCGAGAAACAGTGCCCTCCAAGAAGAAAACATCTGTCTGTGGACACTGTTAATCTTGTATTTATCAATAGAAATGATGGAACGACAGCCGTGCACCCTGTAACCACTGAAACTATTTACCCTTTGAGATTTTTGCCTAGTCTGTTACTTGCCTAAGGCAAAATCACGAAGACATCTTTTAAGCATCTGCTAGCAAGTGTAAGCTGGCAGTCACTTTGTGATTTTTTTTTCTGAAGCAGAAAGACTGTAGTTGTGTAATCCAGGCGCTCGATACCGGAATATCAGATGGACAGGGTTAAAGGGTGCTTATTCAGTTCAAAGGGTTGCACTGTGAATATCCGTTTCTATTGTATTTGAAGATGAGAAAGCTTTTTGTCCAAACTGAAAAAATGGAAAGGTTTGTGTAAAGCTTGATGATAAGATGATAAGAAAGGAGAGTAGCTTTGCACCAGAGTGACAATATAGATGACAGAGTGGTGCTTCGCAGCATATGACATTGAATAGCTTTGAAGACCTAGATTTTTTTTTTTTCCCCCCATTGAATTGGGACTTGCACATCCTTTTGAAAGGAAGAGGTGGGGTACCAGTGCCAAGTCAGAGGAGGAGGAATGTTTTGTGCAGTGCTGGAATCTGATAGATGAAACGGACCATTATTTCTACACCCTCGCTCCATGCGCTGACATATAGGGAAGGCACATGGGAATCCAAGCGTCCTCCATGTGCACTTAGCAAGAACGCAGCGATTTCTCTTGCTGGTTAAGTAGCAGCACACTAGGAGTTGCTCGGTTGTAGTGCCCTGCAAACTGGGCACTACTATTGGGAAAGTTGCAGTGAAGTTCTGATAATGGTAAAATTAATTTATCATATAAATAAATATTTTAAAGGTTTAAAAGTCATTTTGACTTATGAAAATATTTTTGACTCTAGAGTTTTACATTTGATGTTCCTAGGAGACACACTGTCTGAGGATTGGTAGTGGGTACGGAGCCATTCACCTCTAGGTTTCTGTTGAATCCCAGCCCAGGTTGGTAGCGACCAAACGTCGTTAGCACTGATGCATGCTCAGTGACCTTTGCCAGATGGGTTACCAGCTGCAGCTCAGGTTTACTCAATTGCCTCTCGGTGTCAGCGGCAGTCCTTTAAGAGCAAAGTCACGCTAGCTTTGGACGCGAGGGTAGCTAGCAGAGTCGCTCAGTGTGCTGTACCTGTTCCTGGGTAGCGGTTCCTAATGTGTGATGTTGGTGGCACTTCTGACAAGCACCATTCCGTTCACATAACACTGGGGGGTTTTAAGAGGTCATACGTAACACCAGCCTGTATGTGGGGGTGACTACTGTAAATATTCTCTAGGTTGTCTTTAATACTCAATGTAGCTTGCGTTTCTAATTCCTCAATGGGTGTGTGTAGCAAAACGAGTCATGGAATACTTGGTGAGGGTAAGATTAAGGAGCTGTGGTAAGCTTTGGGAAGTTTCATGAGAAATTGGGCTTCAATCTTGTGAAATTCTTCACATTTCCTTAGTGTGTTCTAAATTCTTCTTAATCCAGCCTTTCCAGTGTTGGTAGACCTCCTTCAGTTCAAATATCTGACTTGTTTTTCAGTTTTCCAACTATGTAGCATCCCAGCATGTTACTACTTCTCACAGCAAAGGGTAAAGGGAAACAACCTTCCTGTTATTGTATGTATGTTATAGTGGTCTTCCCTGTTTTGACTTACTAATACTGTGAGTCCCTCAGCTGAAACTGAGAAATCAGTTGAGAGAGAGAAATCAAATCCAGCCATGTTAGAAAGCATTATTTCCATCCTTATTAACGTGGATGAAATCTCTCCTTAGGTTGAGAATTTCTTCTGTATGGGATCTCCTTTAGCAGTGTTTTTGGCATTGCGTGGCATCCGTCCAGGAAACAGCGGTAGTCAAGATCATATTCTGCCCAGAACAATTTGTAACCGCTTACTAAATATTTTTCATCCAACAGATCCAGTGGTGAGTTTTAATTGCAGTCGCAAGCTTTTACCTTGACTATTTTTAAGCATCAGCTGTGTGATAATGTGTGATCTTCAAAGCGTGTGAATCAACGCAAGTATATTCTAGCACAGGACTATTTGTTGATGATTATTGTACAATGTCTTGGGGTTTGTAACTATAGAATAACAGTTTCTATAAATAATTGCCTTAAATACCATATACTTTGCTTCTCTTTTCATACTAAAAAGCGTAAGATTCAAGATTACTCTGCTTTTTTTTTGCTTTTTTTTTTTGTGTAAAGACAGAAGAAATAATCTTTCTCAGTCAAGTTCCAACTTGGGTTTACCATACTGCCTTCCATTAAACATCACCTATCCAAAGATACTACTGCTGTTAAAAAAGGCTTCACAAGCACTTTACAAGATATTGTAGAAAAACAAAACCTCTGGGTTGTTTTTTTACCCAAGGGGTCCAGAGTAAGAGATTGTTAGAGGGTGGGATAGTACCGGGGAGGGCAGTATTGGAATAGCTTTGCCCGGTCCTTGTACTCTTCAATAGGTAGCCAGTGCTTGCTGAGATCAAAGGGCCTTTGATCCATATCACCTTGGCAACTTCTTTGATGCAAACTTGAGCTGAGATTACATGCTTATTGTAGAATAGTAACTTGGGGTATTTCAAGGTCTTGTTCAGCTCCAGCTGCTCTAAAACCAGAATTTTCCTGGGGCATCTAGGAGGATTGGTCAGGCTGCAATCTGTGGTCCCACTCTGCAAATAGTAACTTGACTTAGTTGTAAGACAAAGAAATGCAGAATGCTTTCCTACATATGAGTAAACAAAGAAAAATAAAGAATCAATAGAAATCAAATTTTTTTTAATAAGCACACCAATTCATGATTTGCATAGGGATCAACAAAGAGTCATTAAACAAAATGTTTGCATAGCCAGTGCCTTCCTCTCTGTTGTGTTGTACAGGATCAGCTTAACTGTATATAAAGTTTGTTCTGTCAATGCATAATAACAAAATCTGTTAACAGTAAGTTGTGTGTTGGTAACAGCAACACGTAGTAGGAGTGTTGCAGAGAAATATGCAAATGTGGGTGCACAAGCAACTGGGCAGCTAATACATCTTCCAGGCTGTGAAAATAAAAGTGAACCAGAACATAACACCACCATTTTGTCGCTTTCTAGGCTTCACTCCTTACAGATATTTTGGATTTGAGGTTGGAGAGGACTCTGTATGGGACGAGAATGTGACTTTTCAGTCTTGACACAAGATTTTCTTTTCTAACTTATTCCTGCAGGCCTATAGATTAGAACCTTTAATTCTGAAACACTACAGCAACATTTCGCCTGTCCAGATCCACTGGTACAACACTGCAAACCCTCTACCTTACGAGCATATGAAGCCAAGTTTTCTCAACCCAACGAAAGAACCTACCTCAGTTACTGATAGCGAAAGCGTTTCAACTGTACCAAGCCCAACTACTTCTCCAGTCATGGTTCGACGCCACTACGGGGAGTCCATAACAAACATAGGCAAAGCGAGTATATTAGGTAATTGTTCTTTATGTCCTCTTTTTATTATTATTATTAATTTCTTATATAGAACCTTATTGTAGAGCTTCACTGAGGTGCAACTGTAAGCAAGCTATTCCCGGCTGTTTAAGTTTGTTCTGTATAGGCATATGGCTTATTTTAATCCCAACTAACATTTCCCGTGAAGAAAAGACAGTTCACGTACACGGGAGTCAAGGCTTGTGGGGAGAGGATGCAGGTCAGGGAGTTTATGCTGTTGCTGCCTTATTGAAGTAACATCCTGGGGATTTAATAGTTTCCACTGGACTTCATGGAAAAAAGAAAAATTAAAGCTTGTTTTTGTCATTACATTTTCTGGTATTGGCAAAGAGGAGAAAAATCACTCTATGAAAGCTATTACATTTCCATTTAATTCATGATTTTACAATAGGAAATTCAGGCTGGTTTAATATGATGTCTCTCCGCTTCTGGCTTTCTGACTCAAAATAAGCCCTGGTTTAAGTGAGCTTAAATTTACTTTCACTGGAGCTTATATTTGAGCGTGCACTTGCAGTTTTTGTTGACTCAAGGCTTTTCTTTAGCTCTCTACGTGGGATTTCGAAGAAGCCTAATGTGACCTAGTGCCAGGAATCTTCCCAATCGAATAAGTATATAAAAGCAGTTTAGTCCTTAAGTAGAAAGACACGGTATTTCAAGGCAGGGTTGCTTTTTGCTGTTACTATAGTAACTTTAATGTCATGTCCATAAGGTGGCAGCAAAGTCGGGAGAAAACATCACAGATCTGTTCTTAACTTTTGCACCCCTCTTTCTAAGCAACCAAAATAGTCCTTTTAAAGGATAATATAGCATTTCTAAAGGTCTGTAAGGGTTATGCCAACATAAGGACCCTTAATGGGAGGGAGAGTCTTAAATGTCTTGATGGGATTCTTATGTGCGGAAGGTACTAACATTGTTATAAAGCATTTTTGTCTTAGACTTTTTATGAAAGAGAAATTACAACATATCCTTAAAAGCACCAGATTTCTTGCTGCAGAAGTGTTCTTGTGTATTTCTGTTCCTCTCACTACAGTTTCCAAATTATAGCCTTTGCTTGTACGCTAGATTAGTCTCACGATAAACAGTGTACACTTAAGTCAGATAAGCTGTTCCCACCCTAGAAAAGCATGAATAGTGTTTTCCTTCATCTGTCACTCAACGCTAATTGATGGGTGCTACAGTGACTTTAATTCACAGTTTAATTTAGCTGCCCTTGTGCTTGGCTTTTTTTTTTTTTTCTTCCCCCTCTGTGTTGAACGCAGGAGCTGCAAGCATTGGGAAGGGCCTCGGCGGGATGCTTTTTTCAAGATTTGGTCGATCTAGTACAACCACCCCACAGACACTCGAGACGGGAAAAGATGGAGCTGAGGGGGACGACAAGAAGGCCACAACTGTTGGGACGCCGCCTTTCCCACACAGCAGCTCGGGCTTTCTCGAACCCACAGGTTAGTGACAAGTCCACCTTACAAACCCTGCGGGAACAAGACCTTTAGTGGGCTGCATCTGTGTGTGGTGTAATGCTGTAACAACATAGGCCACTATTTTGTTGGTTTGCTCTAAAGTGATAAATATTGAATTCATTTCTGCTTTTTGAATCTCCTAAGCCTGTCCAAGGACTGACTCTTTGTTCTCCCTTTTATCCCTGTTTTTTTAAAGGAGGTTTATCTGTATATCACAGAGTCTCAGACTGGTTTGGGTTGGAAGGGAACCTCAAAGCCCACCCAGTCCCAACCCCCCTGCCATGGGCAGGGACACCCTCCACTAGCCCAGGTTGCCCAAAGCCCCATCCAACCTGGCCTTGAACACTGCCAGGGAGCCAGGGGCAGCCACAGCTTCTCTGGGCAACCTGTGCCAGGGCCTCAGCACCCTCACAGGGAAGGATTTCTGCCTCACATCCCATCTCCATCTCCCCTCCTGCAGCTTCAGGCCATTCCCCCTTGGCCTGTCACTCCCTGCCCTTGTCACCAGTCCCTCTCCAGATTTCTTGTGTTTGTACATATGCGTACACCACTTATATATATCTGCAAGTATGAATTTTTCTCTGCTGAGGTCAGTAGTTTCTAGACTCCCACTAGGAAAAGCAATATAATTGCTGTGGAGAATCCCACTTACTATTTATCATAAAATGGATTTATTTAAACTTCCCCATACATTTGCAATTCTGAAGCAATCTGGATCTAAAGGCACGTACAACTGGAAACAGAAGCTGCCTTTGTCCTCATCTGAACTGCCTAGAACAGAAAGTGCAATTTGAGCAGCTGGTTTTTGGAAAAGCTTAGGTACTTCCTTTACAGAAATTCATACTTGATTTTATTTCTATACTTCTCATTGGCACTGTTGCAAGGCGGGGGTTTTTGCAATCTGAGGAGTCACAAGTATGTTGTATCTTGTGATGGCGTTCACATGATACGTTGCTGTCCGTTCATCACTGCTAATTTCAACAGATAACCTGAGTAAGTATTTGAGGACAGACACTTTGTTTTATACTTGAGGAAAACAGAATGGTGTGACAGCAAATATCATGGAGCTGCTGCCGAGGTCCTTTCGGGGCAGGCTGGCACATCAAGGGCCTTCTGCACAGTTCCCGCATCCCTCTCTGCTGAAAGCCCGTCCCTGCTCCATAGAAGGAGAACGTGGAGCGGAGGCCAGCAAGGCTGCAAGCTGAATGATGCAATCTGCTGCCAAAGTATTTGCTTCTGAGAGGGCGGCCGCTCGGCTTGCGGTGGGGTTTTGGCTGCCTCCCAAGCTCCTGTAACGGCCTCTCGTCAGAGGGAGACGGAGTCGTTCGGGACGTCCTTCCTGCAGAGCGACCGGTTTTCTGAATATATGCGTCTTAGTGGAAATGACTGCGGTCGTCTCCTGGTATTTGAAGGCTCTGAGTCCCTCTCCTCGCCGCGTTTGCAAAGCGGCACAACGCTCCTGCGAAAACATGAAGAAGGCATGTCGTTCCCCGAGCGCTGCTGTGCCATGCCGGCGGAGGCAGCGATGCTCCCTTTATTGGCTCTTTGAGCCAAGAATTAAAATTCCTTGAGACTGGCTTTGATAAATGGCTGCATTTTTTACTCAATATGGGGTTTTGGCTTTTGTAGCTAAACAGGCTTTTAGTTTTGTCCTTTTTATTCTATTGCTCCTCGTAGAGATTTTCTAACCGCTGAAGTGCCTTAACAATAGGTTAGCCATTGGCCCAGGGAAACATGCAGTGAAAATTGCTTTGAATGTGGTATTAATCAAACCCGCCATTGAAATGAAAGGATAGCTGCTGAAATATATTTGGAATAATCGGGAAATGAAAAGGGCTAGTGTTGTGTAGGGACGGCTGGTTTTCAGAAAGGGCTTATAATATTGGGTGTAGTCGCCTTGTATAGCCGCTAAAGATGCGAGAAGTCCATTTATTTCAGACAGTTCTGAGCATCCACCTTCTGAAAGTCAACGTTTCCTAATGGGGCCTCTGTGTATCCATTCCTACTGGATACTTCTGTGTAGTTATCATAAGGAGCATAAACAAACATATTTACTTACTATAAGCAAAACAGTGGCTTAAAAAAATGCCAGCTTTTTCCCAAGCTGTTTTTTCCCAGGTTTAGTTGGGTTTTTTTTGAAAAAAAAAAAAAACCTGACTCTGAGGTCAGGTTTGTGATAAATGCATGTGCATAAAAATGTATGTACATATTACTAAAAATCCCAGTTGACTTAGGTGAAACACAGATTTATTATGTGCATTTTATATACAGCAAGGAGAATCAGAACCCAAAGCTGATGGAAAAACATGCCAGTGTCATCTAATAACGTTTTTGTTTCTTGTTCCATTTCTAGTGGAACTGGAGCACAGGATCGATTTTGAGCTCAGGGAAGGTCTCGTGGAGAGCAGATACTGGTCCGCGGTCACATCGCACACTGCCTACTGGTCATCTCTGGATATTGCTCTTTTCCTTCTAACCTTCATGTACAAACACGACCAAGAAGATCCCGACAAATCCAATTTAGACGCTATTTGAATTTTTGACTGGGGATGGGGCGGGATGGGAAAGGAAATTTTAAAACAAATGGCACAAAACTGATGTTTTACTGTTGAACTGCAGTATATATGGCATGGAGGTTTCAGGTTTAAGTGCATGTTTGGATTTTTTTCCTATTTCTAAAGAGCAAAACTAATTTGTATTTGAAAGCACTTTATAGTTTTAAACATTTTGCAGTGCTTAATTAGACCTGAAATGATTCCAAATTCTTGTTAACTTTGACTGTATAAAAAGCCAATACAACGTGTAGCATCCCATAAGCACGGTTGTGCAGTCTGCTTGGGTGACATACTTGTTGATGACCATAATTGCTGTTTCGTTCATTAAATTATAAGAGATTAGTTGATTTTAAAAAAAAAAAACAAACAACTAAATCAATTTCCATTAACAAAAATATATGTTAGCTACAAACCTAAAACTGCCATGTTCTGATGTTTTACGTATCAGTAAATAACAAACGGTGGTGTCATTTTTCTAGGACTTTATTCGGCTCCACATCCTGTTATCACAGTACCATTGAAAGATCATTCTGACTGCTGGCTTCTGAGGGCGTATTATACATGACACATTTAGAAACTAATGCTGAAAAAAGCATGAAGCAAATATTTGAAATACTGTAATTATAATTTATTATTATCTCTAATTGTTTCATTTTATTCCAGTGTATAAAACATTACTTTTTTACTGGTTTCTTTTGGCATAATTTAAGAACCACATTTATTTTCTACAGTGTTAAGACTTTTTCTCAGAAATACATATCTTTGTACTACTATTCAAATGAATATATGGACACTGTGGCACACTTTAAGTATTTTTTCATTAAAAATAAATATTTGTGGTTTCACACAAATGACATCGGTCACGTTCTTCCCAAAGGTAAGTAACTCGCTGTGCTTTTTAGGTCCCAAGTGTTTCTCAGGCACGTGAAGGTTTTGACCTCACGCTGGACTTGGTTTGCAGAGGATCCAGCTGTCTTTTGCTTACCATTATTCAATGTATACGTGCATGTGTTTGTATAAAAACGTATGTCTATGTCTGTTTCTGCACAAGGATCCTATCAAGAGGAAAGCGAGCGGCGTAAAATAAACTTGGTGAGGCCTGAGAATACCAGAGCTTAGGTTAGGTTTGTATCTGAAACTAATTCAGGAGAAGTCGAGGGGAGAAGTGGTGTGATGAAAGGAAATCATCTCCAAATGAAACGCTCAAAGGTCATTGCTGAGATTTTAAAACAGGGGGGAAGGCTCTGGAGTAGAAGTGTCAGATATATGGCCTCTGAGCTGCCTCTGGCAGAGGTATTTATGATCTGTATGGCATATGTAGAAGCTGCAGAATCTTAAACTTTGGTTTAAAAGAAGAAAAATAATCAGGCTGCGGTGTTGATGAATAGCAGTGTTCTCAGTGTAAACAGATGTGGCAACATCAGCCCAAACCAGCAGACGGCCTCAGCCAGCGGCTCAGAGATGTGGAAACCACCCAGATGTCCCTTTCTGAAATTCTGTGGGGGAGAGAGGGAATATTATTCTCCCAAATAATATTGCTCGGGCTGTTGCTTGTTTCCATGGTGCAATGGGGAGGGACTTGGGAGCTAGGCCTGTACGTTGGGGTTACGGATTTAGGAATAATTATGAAAAAACAATGCAAAGAAGAAAAGGAAAGGGAGGAGTGGAGGGGAATGGGAAGGGAAAATGATGACAAACAGCACTACTATAAATGCAGTGAAACAATACCCGGCAAAGATGTTCAGACGGTGTAAAGGACCGTGCTTCAGTGTGCATCTCTGAAAAAATCCATCTAGCCTCAGTGAATTGTAACTCTCCCGCCTAACATGTTTACCTTGGTTGATGAACAATCATAAAAAATGAAAATAACCCTCTAAGAGAAGGAAGCTTGACGCCTCTGCTCCAGAAAACAGGCTGTTGTTTACATTACTGGCTTTCCAGATAAGTTGTTTAATCAGCTCTTCCCAATTAGGAGAACTTCAACATAAAAGGAGAATCTCCTTTTATATTTAGAACGTGCAAAACATTTCCAAATGTGCGTGGTTTGTGTTTCAGTCAGTACTTCTGAGTCGGAGCGATACCCCCGTACACCACTGGATCTACGCTAGATCTCTTTTTAAACGCTGTAAAGAAAAAGGGGTTAATTCCTATAATTCTTGTGGTCTGTGTAAACTCTGCCGTTGTCCAGAACATGTTTCAGATTTATGGAATGGCTGTTCCCCTCGCATCAGAACATGCCGGTACTTGCTGACTGCTCCCCATAGAAAGGATGAGATCCTACTTTTGTGTACGTGCCCCTTGGTGAATCGGGGAGAAGACAGAGCTGAGAAATAAACCATATTGCTGGTAGAAGAAGGGATAATAAGGACCAATACATCTTCGTCGCTTTGCGTTTTTCCTGAGTTAATGGACGTATTTATGATTCTGTTCTAATTTGTAGCTTCGTGGAGCATCAATAGTCTCCAAGCTTAATTACAAACATAAAACATACCTCAAAAGAATAAATGGAGATTTATTCTGAAGTGTATGCAAAGGTGTTAAGTATGCTGTTGGGCAGACTTTCATCTTTTTAATCCTCAAAAAGATCCTTTATCCTCCTGCAAAGATGAAATACTATTTGAAAGTTCAGTTTTGAAGTTGTTAGGAAAAGGGTTGCCCCGTTTCTGTTCTGCAGTGTAACTCAGATTCAAGTAGGGTCACGTCTCTGCATGCTAGAGTCTAAATTTCATGCTTAAAACTTTCTGGTCAGATGGTCTGTGGCATAATATAGAGCTGGAATGTCCTGGCTTCCAATTACTGACTTGTTTTCTTCTGCAAGAACGATGTTTAACTTTACAAGCTGTGTTGACTGGTGGTTTTTCTTGAGAAACCAAGATAAGGGAAATGTCCCGCGCTGCTGTCAGTCTTCTGACTGATACCGAGCTGTTTTCTGAAACTTGTCCTTCAGTACTTTGTCCAAATTTGAGCTTACGGTTGTTTTGCTACAAGGTCATTTTTGCAGTTGGTTGTTTTTTTTTTTTTTAATGAATTCCATCCCTTTGCTCCTAATTACTCTGTCACCACAACCTCCCTTCCCCTGTATATCCTCTCTGCTTTTACTCCCCGTGTTCCTGGAGTTAGAGGCCCTTTGCTTTATTGTACCGTGACAGTCTAGCTGGCCAACTTCACTTCTTTTATCTCCTTTCCTAATTAGTAGTATTAGGCTGAACTGAAACATGTTTCACACTCTCATAGAGATATTACACCTGGTATATATTACACCTTTCCCACACCACTTGTCAGTCGAGCCGACTCTGCCCGTAGCTAAATCGGTGGGGACTGATTTTTTATTTTTTTTTATCCAAGTTGAGTTCATGAATCAGTATGTCAACTGTTTGCAGTCAGATAGTTAATGTATATTTGTGTGCCCTCTGCCCAGCAAGTTTATTTGAAATTTGTTGTTTCTCCTATTTCTGTCACTGGCTTGGAGATTAGGTTTCTGCCTCCGCACATCATTTTTGTACTGAAGCCGAAGTTTTGCAAGCATGATCTTCCTGGTTGCTCTCCATCTGCAATTGCAGCAACCGCTTTCCATTGTGTCCCCAGAGTCCGTGCCGATTGTCTCTGCTGATCTGGCAAAAAGCTTTAAAATCTTTATTTAAAATGTCACCCGTGTGACAGTCCCATTTTCTGGTTTATCGGATAGGCTTCAGCCTGGCATTTTTCTTGCATTCCACGTTTGATCTGCATTTAATAACTGTTTTTCACAAAAGCAAACTTTCTCTTGGTTGGGCTTTTCCCTCCCTCTTTCGTAGGTATTTTTTAGTACAGCTTGTCTCTTACCCGTCGCACTCAAGCCTCTTCTGAAGCGTTCATTTTTCATTTCTGCTTTGAAGAAATGGAATTGAAATTTGTTTCATGCTTGTTTGACCGCGGCCTGGTGCATCCTCAAGACTTTAAGGGGAACTTTGAAACCCACTTGAAACCCAAGAGGCACGTATTACCGTTGTGAGCCCCGAGACTTCTCCTGAAAGCTCAGCGTCAGCAGAGCCCAGCTGGATGTGTTTAGCTTTCAGGATGGGTTTGCACGTTCTCTCTCGCCGCGCGTCTTCTCTGGTTGCTGCCATCAGTCAGCTTAACTCTGCGATGGGGCTGACAAAAGCATTTTCTGGCATTGTCAAGGAATTTTGGCACGTTAGCGAGCGGTGGATCTGGGCTGGCCTCTCCCAAGACTGGTTCCTTGCTCTTTGGGTTTCTCCTCCATCCCTGGAGGCCCGTTTGACCCACGCTTTGCTACAGAAACACAATGGTTTGTGTTTCTCTGCCTGCCGTTGCAGAAGCACTTAAAACTGCATGCCTAGCTCAGAGCGTGTTGACGCGCTCTCCTCTTTCAAGGACTATGAGGAGTCCTAACGCATGGAGAGAAATGCCTGGCTATCAAAGTTTCAGTTCACCCTGGAGGTCAGTGCTCCCTGGTCCCATTAGAAAGCAAATTCCAACATCAGCCTTTTCCCCCCAAGAATGCCCTATCTCTGCGGTTGCAGGAGCTCTTGACTAGCAGACCTTGGCCCATCCTTTCCCTTCGAGCATGAAAAGTCATTGAGCCCCCTTGCAAACATGAGATGTCCCAGGGGCAATCTCTTGTGGTTTTGAAATCCTCAATGATTTATCCAAAGAGAGGGTTTTCATTTGACAGTTCTGTGGGCATCTGCCCCAGATTAACTTCTCTCTTTGTTTCGTAAATAAAATACCAGTTCTTGCAGCTACTCTGCCCATTCCCTGGTGCCTCGTTGATCAGAAGCATGGACATGGGAGAGGTGACGTGCAGACTTCTCGACAGCCTGCAGCCCTGACCAGATGCTCGAGCTCCAAGGACCCTGTGTCCAATTTCTTGTTCTTGCTGGTTTTAAGGCTCTTCCAGTATCTCCTTGAAAGTCAGTATCTCATCTCAGAGCGGTCCCATACTTTGTACTTAAAGAGCAGCTATTTAAAGGCCATTTCACCATACCCCTTGATAAAGAAGATCCTTCACTTCCATCTTAAAACATGATTTTGAAGCGTGTTCGTGCCAAAGCGTCTCAGTTTTTTGGGTTTTTCTAC